TCAAGGTGATTGTTCGGTCTCAAATCTAATTATTTTATACTTGCTTGGTGATGACGCACGGAAGCTAGCGTCGCCGGTTGAAACGGAGGAGTTGGTGACGACGAAAAGCTAGCAACGATGCTAAGAAGCCAGCCTGGCGATGCAAGAAGCCGGTGATGACGGACTGACGCTGGCGATGCGAGAACCTGGCGATGACGTTGGCACTGGCGACGGATGTCGTGACAACGGACCAACTGAGCTTGAATTATCGCTCGAGTAGCTCGACGAGCTTTTTTTTTCCTCTCAAGTCGAGCTCGAGCTCGATTAACAGTTGAGCTCGACTCGAACACCCCCTGACTTAAGCTCGACTCGACTCGTTTGCACCCCTACATGCTATTCAAGAAACATGAATTATAAAATATTTAGAATAATTGGAGAACATAAAAACTTATAAAGATGGTTTTCATGCATAAAGAACATTATATCTCCTTTGATTGATTCCTGAAAATCTAGCTATGTACTAATAAAGGTTTTTCTTGATTAAAAAAAATAATAAATAGTATTATCTAATCATTTATAATTAAATTATGAGAAAAAATATCTGTAATTGAATTGTGTTATACAACACTTATTCATTTAGGTGTTTGCTAAGTCCATTATGAACTGACTTTTTTTTGTTATTTAAAGGTGCGAGAAAGATGAATGAGAAATGATCATAATGTTCTTTAAGGGTAATTTTGAAGTTCTCACTAACTTTAATTTGGTCTATTCAAATCAAAACTCAGAATTTCTTCCAATGCATCTTAATCATCATTAAGAGTATATTAGACTCAAGCCCTTACCCTAGTCAAACATGGTTAACTAGGTAAACCAATTTTGACCAAAATATAGTAATAAAAATGAAGATAGAGCTCATCAGCATTTAGTAACATAAGCTATATAGACAAGATGTTCATGTATTTTTTAAATAGAAAACTTTGTACACATTTTTCTTATATAATTTGATTATTATATTTACAATCATTATATATGTATTTGTCTTTTTCTTTGGATCTTTTTAAAATTTTGATAATTTTATATTATATGATATTTATAATTAATGTTTATAAAACCTCCTTCTAATACAACAAAAATAAAATAATCAAGCCTTTTTCCCACTACATAGGATCAGCTATATGAATAATTTATTCTCTATTATGTCGCACTAAGAGTCAAATTATTATTTAGATCTAAGAAAGAAAGGTCATTTCTAATATTTTCTAACCAAGTCCTTTTTAGTTTTACCTCTACCTTTATTTACCTAAGCCAAATCTAATACATCTAGTTTCATAATCGGCTCATCGGAAGGTTGTTATTTTATCTGACCAAACCATCTAAGGTGACTGACTCTCTTTAATCATGTCTTCCACTGGAGCTACCCCAACATTTTCATGCATATGCTCTTTTCGTATCCTATCTCTAAGAGTAAAGCCACTCATCAACCTTAGCATCCTCATCTCCAAAACACTTAACTTTATATTATGCTTCTCTTAATGGCCAACATTCTACACCATAAAGCATTGTAGATCTCACCACCATTTTATAAAATTTTTCCTTAAGTTTGAGGGGGATTTTTCTATCACACAACAAACCCGATGCATTCCTCTACTTCAACCATCCAACTTAAATTCTTCTAATAATATCACCATCTATTTGACCATTACTTTTAATAATAGACCCAAGATATCTAAAATGTGTACTCTTATATTAATGACTTGATCGTCCAAAGTTATAATCCCCCCACTAGATATATAACTACTAGAATTACACTCAATATATTTAGTTTTAGACCTACTCAAAGGAAAACCTTTAGACACTTAAGGTTGGCCTCCATAAAAACTCCTTCATATGAAAAATAAAAAAAAAAGTATAAATTCTTTTATTTGCTTAAATTTTTTTTATTTTGAAATATTTATAGTACAAAAATTATAAAATTTCCTTATTTATTTTAAAATATTACATTAATTTAAAATTTAAAAAAATTTTATTTATTTCATAACTCATTATTTAGTTTAAATTAACTTTTAACTTTAATACTAAAATTTATAAACATAATAGTTTTTTAATTATTTGAAATTTTTAATAATTTAAAGAAAAAAAATGAACTCATGGCCGTCAACCATCCCCCAAGTCGCCTAAGTAATGGGCAACTTGGGAGGGCGCCAGTCGCCCAACAACCAAGTAAAACTCATGTCTATGTTTTCTTAAAATACAATTTTATTAAAAATTGTTATTTTTACTGGGTCTGAAGGCTTAGATTAGAAAAGTGGAGGGTTGTATTAGCTAGTTCATAAAAAGCGTAAAAACTTATTTAGCAATCATGATATGAATCCTTTAATATATTGTGTTAATACTAGGGCTTGAATTCATCAAATATTGTGCAAGTGTTGCTAGACTGGTGCTTGAGTGGTGTTAAATAAACAAGGTTTCTCACATCAGGGACGAATGTGAGCTAAGAAACTAGTATATAAATTTAAAATTAGGATATGAACTTAGAATATAGGTACTCTTATAGGCAAATTAACAAAATTATATATATTATAATTCATAGGAAGATAAACATTCTATAAATTTAAGAAGAAGATTGATAGTTTATGTTTTAAATTATGGTATACTTGTAAAAGTTATGTTAGAAATGATTTAGGTGGCATTATAAATAAAAGTTTGAAGGATAATATTATAGAAATTTATAAAAACATAGATAAAATTATAGCTTTAATATTTATTGTTGATTCTAAGATCATTAATATTACAAGTATTTATTCTCATCAAGTAAGTTTGGATATATGTTTAAAATAAAATTTTAGAATGACTTAGAAGAATTAATACATATGATATCTATTGAAGAAAGAGTTTTAATTGAAGGGAATTTAAATGAACATACCAGTAGAGTTATAGAATAATTTAAAAGTATTCATAGTAGTTATGTATTTAGAGCTAGTAATAAAAGTGGTAAGATCATATTAGATTTTACTTTAGTTTATGATTTGTAATTCTTAATATTTTATTTAAGAAAAGAGAGGGGCATCTCATCACTTATAAGAATGGACATAGTAAAACTCAAATTGATTATTTTCTTATAAAAAATAGATCATTTAGATTATAAAGATTCTAAAGTCATTTTGAGTGAATGTTTATATACCTAAAATGGCTTATTAATTTTGAACTTCAAAATGAAGGGTGAGAAATAAAAAATAAAGTAAAACATTATTCTACGATTAGATAAGGCTATTTAAAGAACATTAATAAAAATATTTTTGAGAGTAAGATTCAAGATTTTAAGGTTTGAGTTGTTCATGAGAAAGCTAATATTATGTGAAAAAATAACTAGTGATATTAAGGATGTTACAAAGTATGTGCTTGAAGAATTAAAAGAAAAATCTCATAATACCAAAAATAATTAATTGTGGAATCAAAATGTAAACAAAAAGATAGAAACTAAAAAAAACTTATAGAAATTAATTTAAATGTAAATGGTCAAAAAATTGAGAAAGATATAGATGGGTCTATAGAGAGTTTAAGAAAATAATGGTGTAATGCATATTGATACAAAAATCCGAGCTTTTTGATCCATTCTAATAAATTTACATTAACTCATCAATGCATATTATATTTTCTAGACATGTTATGTGTGTTTGAAATATTTTGGTGTGCATGTGGATTATGTGTGCAAGAATTAGAATATGGAACTTTTTTCATGGGAACATTGTGACGTTGGAGTTGGCATTGCAGGGTTAGGTTGGGGTGTTGCAGTGCCGTATTTTCTATTGGGAGTTCTGCGACATTGAGGTTTTGAGAGTTGTGGGACTAGCATAAATTTTTTTTTATAAATGGTCAAAATCCAATTAATTTTTATTTTTCCAGAACAACCTCCCCCCCCACCAAACAGCTGTTTGAAGAAGGATTATAGAAGAGAAAATTATAGAGAGAGGAAGTTTATTTCAAGGTATTTTAATGCATAATAACTAATTCATATGTCTACCATTAAAAATAAGTGCGAGGACAAAATAATTGAATGATTAAGTTTTACTTTTTTAATAAGTAATTCAAGTTGCATAGCAATAAATATTTTTCATGTTTTAAAGTTTTTATTCAATTTATTATTTAAATAGATAAAATATTAAAAATAAAATAATAAAAAACTTACAGTTTGTATGTTCATATGGATGATGTCTAGGTGACATTGGTAAGCATAAATTCACACTCAATTAGTATGACTCACATAATTTGATTTGTGTAACATAACATCATATATTATTTTTCAATGCAAGCAAGCAAGGAAATCATTCTTGCTACTTATGCTACAACATTTTGTTCAATTTTGTACTTTTAATCAAATTAAGCCAAAATAAAGAAGTAGAGTCAATGCAATCACTCTTTTCTCTTAACAACAAGGAAGAATCATGACTAATCACAATAATATGTTGAGTAGGATTTAGGAAAATGTGAATATTTTGGAATGTTGGCATATAGTAATATTGAAAATATTCATTCCCAGCTAGTCTTGAACAATAGTTCAGCAACATAAGGGAAAGTTCCAACAACTGAGGAATCAGAGGGTAACCTGTTACTAATTCATTCTGTCCATGATAATACAATTCCTTTTGTATAAAACAATCACAACGCCATGGACAACACATTAGCATAAAAGTATGAATTCTCTTCCTCCATCAAAGCTATTTCTTGAAAAAGTAAGGTTTTTGGACTTCTATGTAAATAATAATAATAATAATTTGTTAAAAAAAATGCAAATAATTTCTATTTAACTTTGAAATAAGGCGAATGTATATAACTAATAACTTAGTTTCAGAAAATTTACAGACAAAATACAAATAATGATATGAAAAAAATTTTGGCAGATTACCAACAATATAAATAATGTCATAATTTATTAATAAAATTTTATAAAATGATTTAAATAAACAAGAAAAAAAAAAAAAAAAAAAAAAAAAAAAAAAACAAAAAAACCCTTCTACATTTCACACCGCCTTTCAAAATCCCCTTGCCGCTCGGTTCTCTAGAAAACCCCTAACCCCTTACTCTCGCTTCGGCTACGTATGGAGGAAGAAGACGATCTCTGGAAGCAATTCCTTGAACAATACGACGGTGGAGATGGCGATGTCCTAAGTGTTCCCTCGCAAGTGTTCTCAGACTCCTACCTCATCGGCTTCGTCATCGCCAATATCGTCGGCCTCCGCTACTACTCCGGCACCATCAATGGTCGGGAGCTTGTGGGTCTTGTCCGCGAACCCCTCAACACGTACGATCCCAACGCCATCAAGGTCCTCAACTCCAGCGCAGTTCAAGTCGGTCACATCGAGCGCACTGTGGCGGCTGTCCTTGCTCCTCTCCTCGACTCGCGCATCATCTCCGCCGTGGAGGCCATCGTTCCCAAGCCCCCGCCTAGTGGAAGAAGTCCCTACCGTCTTCCCTGCCAAATTCATATTTTCGCCCTCCCTGACGCCATCCCCACAGTCCAATGCGCCATTGAAGACGGCGGCCTTCATCTCTTCACTCCCGATGACCACGAGTTCGGCCTATCTGAGTCTGTCATTGTCAATGAGTCCACCTCTACTAATGCTTCCAAGGAGCGGCGAATGGTCGATGAGATATTTGCACTTGTGGGGAAGGAGGGGAAGGGGATTGAGCATCTTGAACCTCCTAAGGATGTCATCTTGACGGAGCTGTTTCCTCACCAGAAGGAAGGGTTGGGTTGGTTGGTCAACAGGGAGAACTCACAGGACTTGCCATTATTTTGGAAGGAGAAGAATGGGGGCTTTCTCAATGTGCTGACAAATCACTTGACAAACGACCGGCCAGAGCCGCTCAAGGGTGGAATCTTCGCTGATGACATGGGATTGGGTAAAACCCTCACTTTGTTATCTTTGATTGCTACTAATAAACCAGTTAGTAGTGTTTCTTATACCTTGGTAGACGACGTTGGAACATCTAGTGCAAGGAAGCACAAGTCTGGCAACAAAAAGGTTGTGAGTTCTAGGAAGAAACGTAAAACAGATGTTGATGATTATAATGGTGGCATTTTGGATAGCAAGGATAAGGTTTCAAGCCCCAAAACAACTTTAGTTGTTTGCCCATCATCGGTCCTTACGACTTGGATAGCTCAACTGGAGCAACATACTAGACCTGGTAGTTTACAGGTGTATTTGTATCATGGGGAGCGCAAAAAGGAAGTGGATTTGCTCCTGAGCCATGATCTTGTGCTGACAACATATAAAACTTTGGCTTTGGAGTTTAGCTCATCACAGTCCCCTCTGAAGAAGATAGAGTGGTTGAGAGTTATTTTGGATGAGGCCCATGTTATTAAGAACTTCTTATCACAACAAACTAAAGCAGTTGTTGAGTTGAAGGCTGAGAGGAGGTGGGTAGTAACAGGAACTCCAATACAGAATAATTCCTTTGATTTGTACTCTCTCATGGCATTTTTAAGGTTTCTTCCGTTCTCAATTAAGAACTATTGGCAGAGACTTGTCCAACGTCCATTGGATCAAGGGAGCGCTAGTGGAATAGCACGCTTACAAGTAAGATAACTTTCTTTATTTGTTGTTCATTTACTTGTTTTTTTTCAACTTCTTTTCCTTTTTTTTCCCTATTCTTACTGCCTCTCTTTGATAGAATTTTTGGGTTAAACTAAACCAACTAATGGATCACCCAATATCTATGTGGAACATAGATTTTGATTGAATGTTACTAGCAATATTGCGAAGAGCGGTGTGTTCCACTTTCTTTGCCAATCTCTATTCCTAAGTGTTATGTTTGTATTTATTTTGGATTTCAATGTCTAATATTACAGTTGGTAGTGGCTAGAGTGTTAGAGTAACATAAAATGTTCCGCCAGCATACTTCATCGATCACGGTCACCAGCACGAACTCCGGCTGCACGATCGCCTGCAACGCTGCAATGCCAGTCTGCCTCCAACAGACTCCTGACACTACAACTACCTATCTCCCAAAGCTCTATAAAAAACATTGTATTACTCACAGATAAAATCAATGAAGAGCTAATACTTTCTCCACCATTGTCTTCTTCTTCTTTCTCTGTTTTCTCTGTCACTGCTCTACAGGGATTTCTTTATGGTATCAGAGCCGTGACACTGGGCTTCTTTCGTCGCTCAAGCAGCAATGACCGAACATAATTCCTTTACCCAGTACAGGACATCATCTACATTGTCCTCTTCCATGGCAGCCACTGTCATTCCGCCCTCACTAAAATTTCTGATGTCAAACCTTAAACTCATAGTACATACTCAGCTTACCACAGATAATTACGCTATCTGGAGACTTCAGATCTACCAGGCTTTCGCTGCCAATGGCTTCGAAGGATACATCACCGGCTCGGTCACCTGTCTGCCAGAGTCCTCAGACTCAACTTCAACCAATGTAGATTACAAAATCTGGAAGCTCGTGGATAAAATCTCATCTCAGCTCTCTTCTCTACTATCTCATCGTCCGTGCTCCCCTACATTTTGCATCTCAAAACTTCCTGCGAAATCTGGACAGCGCTGGAGCTAAGGCTGCATCCCACCAACAGATCACGCGTCATACAGTTGAAAAACGAACTCCATAACATTCAAATGAGAGATCAAACAATTTCACAATATATGGGCAAAGTGAAATCGCTCGTAGATAATATTGCTGCCGCAGGAGGTTATATCGACACAGAAGATATAATCCTCTATACCCTCAAAGGTCTACCGACCTCCTATAACCCATTCAAAGTAGCTATCAGGATCTCTCTGCTACCCGTCACTCTTGAATCTCTGTACTCACTACTCTGCAGCGAAGAAATAAATTTGCAAACAGAGATTCAATAGGACACGACCACCACTCCTGAGCTTCAAGCTCTATACGCCTCGCGAGGACGCGGGCGTAACTCGAACTACAGGGGAGGTCGAGGAAGAGGAGCTGCCTTCAGTCCGTCTACCACATCAGCCAAACCAGCTGCCAATCCACCGTAGAATGCCGACAGACCGATATGCCAAATATGCGGCAAACCGGGCCATCTAACCTTAGCATGCTGGCACCGTTACAACTCCAACTACACACAGCAAGGTCCACCAAACCATGCTCTTCTCACCCAAACACAAGCTGTTGCCACCACAGACTGGGTACTCGACTCCGGTGCTTCCACACACCTTACAACAGACATTGCAAATCTACAACATTCTCTCCCATACCAAGGAATGGATTCAATATCTACAGCAAGCGGATCTTCCCTTCCCATTCATCACATCGGCGCCGGTCTTCTGCCACTTCCAGACTCAACCTGGAAGCTCAAACTACAAAACCTTCTCCATGTCCCCTCTCTCGCTCATAACCTCTTGTCAATATCCAAATTAACAAAAGATAACAATTGTTCCATATCTTTTGATTCTAACGGTTTCACTCTCAAGGATTTTCAGGACAACAAAATTCTACTCCATGGCCATAACCGTGAAGGAATCTACCAATTCGCCTTCCACGCCAAGCTCCCGTTCATGCTCTCAACATCACACAAGACTCCACCGCTCTCTGGCACGCCCGTCTGGGTCATCCGCATCACCGCTTGATGATCAATCTATCTAGGCTTCTACCAGCTACCAGTCTTAAGTTTTTCAATTTTAACTGCACTTCCTGTAAAGTGGCCAAGAGCCACAAGCTCCCTTTTCCAAAGGAAGCTACTCATGTAACTACTCCGTTCACCTTAATACATACCGACGTCTGGGGACCTTCTCCTCTTCCCTCTCTCTGGTTATCAATATTACATAGTATTCATAGATGATTGCACGCGTTTTTGCTGCTTATACTTAATGCATTCAAAAAATGAATCAAGTACAAAATTTCAACACTTCTATACTCTTATAAAAACTCAGTTCACAACCTCAATAAAAACATTGCGCTCCGACGGTGGCGGAGAATTCACCGGACATGACTTTCTAACTTACTCTCAAAACACAGCATACACCACGAGCTTAGCTGTCCCTATACCCCCGAGAAAAACGGCGTATCCGAAAGGAAACACCGGCATCTCATCGAAACCGCACGAACGCTCCTACACGCAGCGAGCTTACCCTTCATCTTCTGGGTTGAGGCTGTTCAGACATCAAATTATCTTATAAATCGACTTCCCACCTCATCCCTGAAGCCTCAAACACCACACAAGCTAGCCTCCCGATCCACACCATGTATCTTCCTCGGCTATTCAACCTCTCACAAAGGATATCGATGCTACAACCTACACAACCAAAAAATTTATATCTCACGACATGTGACATTCAACGAACAACACTTTCCATATGCAACATCACCCATTTCTCAACCTCCTTCCCCATCAGCACCCATTCCTCCTCTGCTTCTCATTCCAACCTCCACATACACGAGCTCTTCTCAACCACCAGTTCATACCCATCCCACAGTCGATTCAAACACTCATACTTTACTTCCCCAATCTTCCCTCACAGACATCCATCAACTCAGCTTCTCCCACTGAAATTTCAAATTCTCCCGCTCTCGCGCCAAAACATCATATGCAGACTCGCCTTCAGACCGGCCATCTCAAACTGAAAAAAATCTTTGATTTACTTGCTATAACAGATACTAATCCAACTCCCTCATGCTACACCGAAGCCGCCAAATTCCCTCACTGGCGACAAGAAATGTCAACAGAATTTATGGCTCTCCAAATCAAGGTACCTGTCATCTCACTCCTCCTCCCAAACACACACCAGTTCTCGGCTGCAGATGTACATACAAGACAAAGCTCAACACCGATGGCACCGTCAATTGCTACAAAGCATGGCTTGTAGCCCAAGGATTCAGTCAAAAACAGGACATCAATTATCAACAGACCTTTAGTCCTATGGCTAAGATGCCGATCATTCGAGTGCTGCTCATTATTTCTCTTCACCGAGGCTGGCCGATTCACCAATTAGACATCAACAATGCATTTCTATATGGTGATCTTCAAGAAGATGTTTACATGAAGCAACCACAAGGCTTCATCGATCCCACACATCTGAATCATGTCTGTAAACTGCAAAAAGCACTCTATGGCCTCAAGCAAGCCCCCCGTCAGTGGTTTCACAAACTGACGACCTTCCTACTTGCCTTCGGCTTCCACTTCAGCAAGGCGGATCCCTCTATGCTCATCTACGACAATCACGACGTTCAGCTTTATTTGCTCATATACATCGACGACCTCCTCCTGTCCGCAATCACTAACCCACCCTTCATAAACTCCTTCGTCAGCTTAAGCAAACATTCTCCCTCAAACAACTGGATAATGCAAATCTCTTCCTTGGCATTCAAATTCAGTCCACACCAACCGGTCTGTTTCTGCGTTAGGCACACTATGCCATGGACATTCTTCATTCAGCCGGTCTGGATTCCTCAAAACCAGTCACCACTCCTGTCTCCCCCAAGGAACCCAAGTCCACTGCTGATCCATCACCATAAGATAATCCTACATTCTACAGGCAGATAGCGGGCTCCCTGCAATATCTCACCGTGACAAGGCCGGACATCGCCTTTGCCACCAATGTCATCTGTCACCATATGCACAGCCCAAACGGTTCTGACTTCAAATGCCTGAAACGTCTTCTGAGATACATAAAAGGCACTCAAGACTATCGCATGCCAATCAAAGTCGGCCCTCTCACCCTTACAGCCTATGCAGACGCAGACTGGGTGTCAAGTTCAGAAAATCGCAAGTCCATCACGGGATTCTGCTCGTACTTGGGTCCCAACCTCATTTCATGGAGCGTAAAGAAACAATCCACTGTCCCCAAATATTCAACAGAGGCAGAATATCGCGCTCTCGCCACGGTGACATCGGACGTTATCTGGTTACGTCGCCTCCTAAACGACTTCAAAGTTCCGCAGTCTCTTCGGACTCAGATACTGTGCGACAATGTGTCCGCCATTGCTCTGGCAGACAACCCCATTTTTCACGCCAGGACCAATCATATTGAAATTGATCACCACTTCATCAGTGATCATATCAATCGCAAGGCAATTACTGTAACTCATATCAACTCCATTGATCAACTGGCGGACATTCTCACCAAACCTCTCACCGGCTCCAGGTTCGCAGTATTGAGAAGCAAATTGACTATCTGCAAACCAGATAATCAATTTGAAGGGGGATGTTAGAGTAACATAAAATGTTCTGCCAGCATACATCACCGATCATGGTCACCAGCACGAACTCCGGCTGCACGATCGCCTGCAACGCTGCAATGCCAGTCTGCCTCCAACGGACTCCTGACACTACAACCACCTGTCTCCCAAAGCTCTATAAAAACCATTGTATTACTCACAGATAAAATCAATGAAGAGATAATTCTTTCTCCACCATTGTCTTCTTCTTCTTTCTCTGTTTTCTCAGTCACTGCTCTACATGGATTTCTTTATAGAGGAGGATTTATTAAGCTGGTCCCTCGTAGTTGGGATAAAAGTCAATGATGATGAATGCATGCGTTGATTTCTTGAAAAAAAAACCACTTGAAATAGGGTTTTTTTTTCTCCTTATTTGAAGTAGTACATGAATTAGTTTTTGCTTTGGCCTTAAATGGAGGATTCCCTATTTAACTATTATCTACCAACATTGGGTGGTTATACTAAGACATGCGAGCATATTTAATTTAATCTCACATTGGATTAGTGAAAATATATTGGTGCATAAATACAAGTGGTTGGATCACACCCCCACAAACTTAAACTTTTGGTTGAAGGTATGTTTTATAATGGGTGTAAAAAAAGAAAAAAAAAAAGAGGGTGTATCAGGCTCTATTTTAGTTACCTTTTGGTTTATCCTCTTTTACAAATGATGTTATCATCTTTAATCTATTTTAAGTGCTAACATAACACACTTCATATAAAGCTAATGATGATAAAGACTAAGGACCTTACTGATGTTGTATACCTAGATTGCATTAAATTGTCATTTTACTTCATCGACAATTTAGTATTTATGCAATTGGAAGGGTTGAGAAGGGGGTTAACTATGTCCAAGTAAGCCCAATTTACACCTCATGTTAAAGAACTGCATCTGAATTTATATCAATATAGCTCTTTTGCACTAGTAACAACTGAAGCTTTTTTAAGCTAAATTATGATTCAAATGCATTGCAAGTTTCAGTTGTGTTATGCTCTTGGAAAGAATGGAATGAGGCAAGAAAACGTGGTAGGATTTGTATTTATGTTCACATTTGGAAATGTTCACTTTTCAAAATTTCTCAACATTCAGATAGTGTTTCTATTTGTTTGGGAAACAATGCAATAAAATGCATGAAATAGAAACAAGATGGAACGAGATGCAACAAAATTTCTGCTGCCATTAATCAATAAAAGTTTCTATTTTCTACTTGGACAATTGGTCTATAAAACTTTTGTATGACCGTGGAGCATGTCATTGTGGAAGATAATGCAACTAATAAAGTTTCAATGCCGTATTTTTTTTTTTTGAAGGAAAGGCAGTCTAGAATGTAGAGAGTGCCTTTTAACCAATATGATTCTATGTATTTCTTTGTTTTGTAGGCCTTGATGGCAAGTATTTCCTTACGAAGAATGAAAGGAACTAATAGTGGAAGCAATAGTTTGGTTGGACTGCCATCAAAAACTGTTGAAACTTGCTTTGTGGAACTCTGTTCCGAAGAACGTGAGCAGTATGAGAAGATGGAATCAGAGGCAAGAAGTACACTGAGGGAGTATATTAATGCTGACACCATATTGCGCAATTACTCTACTGTACTGCACATTATATTACGACTTCGTCAGATCTGTAATAATGTGGCTTTATGCCCCTCGGATCTCAAATCACTACTTTCATCAAACAGTTTTGAAGGTATGTCTTCTACTAGCTTGGTTTTCTTCTTTTTTCTGGAACATTTAATTTAATTTCTGATTGATAGGTTTATAACTTTATACCATATTTCCTGATGAATTGGGTAAGGTTTCTCTTTTTTATGTTTTTATTGTAACCTAAGAAAGCCTATAAGCATTTACTTGCAAATTGTAGTTTCTTTTTTTATTATTATTATTGATAAGTGGAAGGTGGAGTTCCTTGGAAGCGATGCGTTGTGTGGCTTGAATACAACGACAAGTGAGCAAGGGCCACTGCATGGCTCTCGGATGCAATGTTAAATAGGAAAAATTTCCTACATCATGGACGGATGTGGGCAAAGAAGCTAGTCCATGATTCCAAAATGAGGAAAGGAACTTAAAATATAGGTTTCCTTACAGACAAATTAATGAAATTAATAGATATTATGATTCATAGGAAGATTAATATTCTTTGCATTCGAGAAACTAAATGGGTTGGAGAGAAGGCTAAGGAGATTGATAGTTTAGGATTTAAAACATGATATTCTGGTAAGACTCATACCATAAATGGTGTAGGTGTGATTATAGACAAGAGTTTAAAGGATAATGTAATAAAAATTAATAGAATTAGAGATATAATCATAGTTTTAAAGATTATTGTTTATGCTAAGATTATTAATATTATAAACGTTTATACTCCTCAAGTAAGTTTGAATATATATTCAAAATTAAAATTTTTGAATGACATAAAAAATAATACAAAAGATACATCTGAAAGAAAGAGTTTTTATTGGAGGAGATTTAAATAGACATGTTGGTAGAGAGGTAGATGATTTTAAAAACATTCATGGTGGTTATGACTTTGGTGTGACTAATGAATGTGATAAGACCATATTAGATTTTTTTTTAGCTTATGATTTTGTAATTGCTAATACCTTATTCAAGAAAAGAGATGAACATTTATCACTTATAAGAATGAATGTAGTAAAATTTAGATTAATTATTTTCTTATAAGAAAATTAGATCGTTTAGATTAAAAAGATTATAAAGTTATTTCGAGTGAAAGTTTATGTACCCAATATTTCTTATTAGTTTTGAACTTTAAGATGAGTGGGCAGAATATTAAAAATAAAATAGATTGTTGTTCTAGGATTAGATGAGGACATTTAAAATATATTAATAAAATATTTTTGAGAGTAAGATTTTAGATCTTAAGATTTTATCTGTGCATGAGGATACTAATGTTATGTGGGAAAAAGTAATTAGTGTTATTATGAATATTGCAAAAGATGTGCTTAGAGTATCAAAGAGAAAATTTACTAATAATTAAATTAGTTGGTTGTGAATCAAATTGTTCAAAAAGAGAAAAAAATAAGAAGATTTATTATAAAAATTATTTTTATTGTAAAAATTTAGATAACTGGAAAAGATATAAAGAAGCCAGTAATGAGTCTAAGAAATCAATTTGCAATGCAATGATTTTAGTTTTTAATGATTTATAATTTTATATAATAGATTAGATACTAAGGAGAGCAAATATATATGTATAAGTTAGCTAAAAAATGGATATGAGTAGTAAGGATTTAGTTCAAGTGATGTGTATCAAGATGAATATCAAAAAGTGTTTTTATTAGAAGATGATATTCAACGAAGGCGGATGAGATATTTTGCTAAACTTTTCAATAAAGATTATGAGAATGCGATTGACTTTAATGATCTTAGCACCCTAAATGAAAAAAAAGATTTTTGTTTTTATCGGTGTATTCATGGTTTAAAATTGCACAACAATAAGCACGCCTCAGCGCAATACAGGCCTTTGCGCGTCAATACGAACACCTTGAACTTGATACGCAAGGTGTACACCTCAAATAAACAAAGGCGCTTCCTACCTCACTTCGATGAGGCGTTCGCTTCTTAAAAAGCTATTATTATTAACAAAAGTCTAAACATAATATCTATACTCTTATTTCCTTTGTATTCGACTTCACATGCTATTCGACTCCGCCTGGGCACTTTGAACTTCGTCTGTCATCATGCTCTTCGACTTTGCCTGCATGCATTCATGCTTGTCAACTTCGCCTGCGTTCGTGTTCTACGATTTCGCCTTGAGTTCGGCTGCCTTCCTCTTCTTCGCGTTCCTCTTCGACTTCACCTAAGCATCACAGTTTAAGTTTAGGGTGTGTTATTTAAGCTTCATTGCAGCCTTTGATGACGTTCTAAAACCTTCATCATCATCTTCTTCAAATGTTCGTAGGTGGAGAGTCCGGATCGGGTGTTCGAAAGGTTTAAGGCCTATGATGCACCAACACTCCACTTGAAGAGGAAATGCAGTGTCAGACACGAACACGCACCCGTCACGGCACGAACACGTGTCTGACACGATTTTAGCGTGTACCATTTAGAAATACGTAAAATTTAATCGGATATTTAATAACTAAATAAAAAAAAAGAAAATTCTTTTTATATCTCCGCTCAGAGCACCCGAGCCCTAATTTCTCCCTTCCTATTTGGCGAAGTTTCCTTCGTATTCCGTTAGTGCAATGAGTGAGGCGAACACCCGAGGCGATATGGCCAGCATGATTTCGTCGTCATTTCCCTTCCTTCGTCGTTTCTGCGAGCACTCGAGGCCAAGCTGAGCACTCCTTCCATGTCCCTTCGTTGTATATGCGCACTGCCGAGCCCAAGCCGCTAGCCATTTCTGCGCAGACGAGCCAACCGAGCATCTCATCAAGTCCTGTAAGTGGATTTCCCCTTTTTTTTTCTCCCTTCGTTAGTTCTTGCAGTATTTTATTGAAGAAATAGGATACAAGAGGATTTTCTGTGGTTGAAGCAACTAATCATGGAGTCGGGCTGAAGAATTGTTTTGTTTTTCTCTAGAATAGTTCATAAGCATTTATCTTAACAAGAAGAGAAGTAGAAGGAAATAAAACCAAGAGGAAAACTATTGGGAATTGATTTCATAAAATGTGTTAACAAATATGTGATCTTTTGGTAGTTTCTCCCATTTTTTGTATGTATCTTTCTGATGCATACAAAGGGGGGTCAAAACAAGTTAGATTTTATTTTGGTGAATTTTGGGTCCTCTAGTAGATTCAGCTCATTAATGTCTAGTAGAGAACCTTTTTTAGCTCATAAATTGATGTTTATTCTCCCATGTGTTGTCCCTTTGGTTCCCGTGGATGGCTCCTTGGTTCCCGTGGCTTGACCCTTTGGTTCCCGTGAATGGCTGTTGGGTTCCCGCGCCTTGGCTCTTGGTTTCCTGCGGCTGGCTCTTGTTTTCCCGTGCCTTAACCCCTTGTTTTCTGTGCTGTTTTCGGGTCCCTAGCTGGGCTATTTTCCCGAAGAAGCTAGGGGGCTCTTCCTGTGGATTTAATGCCCTGTTTTCTGTGCAATGTTGGGCTGCTGTTTGAAGATTTTTGGGCTGCTGTTTGAAGAGATTTTGGGGCTGTTTTTGGACAGAATTTGGACAGTTTTTGGGACTGATTTGGTGGCTGTTTTGGGAGGAATTCCAAGAGACTTTTGCTGATTTCTGTGCAGTTTTTTACTGCAGTTTTTAGGTGTCTTTTGGCCTTCTATGTTCCTATTTTAATTAACTTTTAATTAAGTTTTAGTGGCTGTTTGTATTCCTTCTTTTGTGCCTATAAATAGGAGTTGTTTGTGGCTGTTTTAGATATGTTATGTGATGTGATTTTTGGAAATGTAAACCTGCGGGTTTCATTTGAAAAGCTTGCGAGATTTGTCCACTTCTTTTTCTCATCCCCTCCAGAAATCTTGCGAGCTCTTTCCAATCTTTCGTCTTGGCTTCTAACATTTTTCGTCTCTCCGCAAGTGCTACTCTATCTGTATCATTCTTCTCAAAGTAAGCAAGTTTAGGGTGTCATTTTGTTTGAGTCATTTGTAAGAGTCAAGGGTTGTAATATCATGTTATGTTGAAAGTCAAGTTTGTAAGTCTTTATTTATAAAAGTGTTCGTTTATATGAAATGTAAGAGTTGTTCTATTATGTCTAAGTTATCTCTTCTTTTTGAGGTATTTTGTGTCTTCTTTTATTTAGTAAGTCAGTTTTTCTTTTTGTGATAAAAAAATATAGGGTCCCCTATATTTTTTGCTCGCATCATTTGGTATCAGAGTAGAGAAGATATACTTTTAAATTAGAGTAGAGAAGATAATTTATTATAGGGAGATTTAAATAGCGATAACTATACTGGAGTTGACTTTTGATTCCTCCAATGTTATGGAAAGAATGATGGAATAAAGATTAGAAAAATCACGTTGATATGATAGGATCAATTTTCTTTTATATTACAAAGAGCATAAGAAACTTTTTGAATTATGAAATGAATGAAATTTACCTTGAGCAAGGAAAATATCTTTATATGCTTTTTATTGACCTTGTAAGGAAATGATCAAGTATTATGAGAATTAGATTAGGTGGGCGATCAGGAGAAAATGCATCTATCCAAATGATGTTGGATTATTAACAACATCTACATTGGAATAGAGTCTTGTCGAATGAATAGCTTGGGAGCAATTAAATGCTTTCAAGAAGTTATGTGAATTTTCATCATGATTATTTGCTTTAATTAAACAATTTATGGTCAACTTTATGAATTATTCTTCTTCAGTCATTCCTATTTCATGTTTATGAGATTTTTGTTCTATTGGTGCAAGTCTTGCACAATTTTAGGCATTTCACATTCAACATATTCCTTTTCTTGATAATCTTTCTTCTTTGGGTGATTAACACCATCTTTTAGTGTTCATTGTACATGCTCAAATTATCTAGTTTACTTTTTAACATGACTTGAGTATGACTTCATTTGAAAACATGAAAACACTTTGGGCTGCTCGAAATTTAATTTACGATAAATTTGAAGATTTAATATTTAATTGTAGAGTTTCATAAATGATGGTTAGAAGTAGATTTAACGTTGCATCGGGTCATAAGAAGGATCCATAATGAAAACATAGCACTTAAGTGAACGTAGGAGACAATGACAAATTATACGTATATCTGAAATATAATTATTGTGACAAAGTAATGAAGGGTGGTGTGTGACTATGATGAAGGAGCACCTTTCCGGATCCCACAAGACTATTGCACCTTGCGCTAAAGTTCTTGATATAGTCAAAAACATGCATGTCTATCATGTCAAAGCATCTTGCACAGAAGCAGTTCGAGGACAAAGTTGATGTTGGCACCTACTACGAGAGTGAGCGTAGCGGTTTAGATTCATCTTCTCAATGAATCTCATATCTTCTAGGGGTGCAAGGGGTCTCATGGATTATTATATGGTATAAACATCAGAGAATATGCCTTCTACTACACAGAGGATGACCCCGGAGACTACTAGGGAGGCATGGAAAATAGTATATATAGATATAAGAAGATTTTTCTATGAAAATGCAATTCTATTTAATGTCGTATCATCACCTGCTTATTATAACATGATTTGATCAGTTGGAGCATATGTGAGAGGGTTTAAACCTCTAACCATGTACGATTTGAGAATGAAAAAATAAAAAAAAAAATAAAAAAAAATAAAAAATATATGATTTGAGAACGTGATTTTTGAAAGAGTTGAACAATATTGAAAAAAGTATTGAGGAAAGTAAAAATATTTTGGCTCAAATATGTGTAACTATTATATCATATGGTTGGTCAGATATGAAAAATAGAAGTTTAATAAATATTCTGATTAATAATACTTACAACACTGTATTTTTTAAGTCAATTGAGGCATTTGATCAGGCAAGGATGTTGAGTTCATCTTTGGATTACTAGATAACATTGTTGAGGAGGTTGAAGAGCATTTAGAAGTCCAATTGGTAACATATAATGTCAGTTCTTACAAGACTGCAGGGAAAAAATTATGGAGAAGAGAAAACATTTGTATTGGACTCCATGTGTTGCACACTGCATAGATATCATTCTTGAGAAGCTTAAGGAGCTACGTCAACACAAGAATACGCTTACCAAAGCAAAGAAGATAACTAAATTTATTTACAACCATTCTTGAGTTTTGACTCTTATGAAGAAATTTTCAAAGAAAAAAATTCTGAGACTAGCATCAATAAGATTTGCAACTGCTTGATATTACGGAGTATGTTGGATGCTAGACAACCTTTGGAGTCTTTGTTTACCTCCACCCAATGGTTGAGTTGTGCATGTGCTAAGAAACTTGAGAGAAAATAGATTAGAAAGATTGTTTTAAATGACAAATTTTGGTAAAGCCCCTTATACGCCATCACAATCATTTGATCATTAGTACAAGTTTTAAGAATGGTGGATGCAAAGAAAAGCTTGCTATGAGTTTTATCTATAATGCTATTGATGAAATAAAGAAAATGATTGCTCGCAAATTAGCTCCCAATATTCCTAAAATTTCACATATGTTATATGCTGATGATGTAATGATTATGGCTGAAGTTACTTCTTCAAATGCAAAGTGTATCAACAAAATTTTGAAGAAATATTGTGAATGGACTGGTCAAAAAATAAACAAGGAAAAATCTCAGATTTTATTTGGAAAGTTTGTTTCACGGATGGACCAAAAAACTTTTGGGAAAACTTTGGGTATTCACAAAGTCAAGGAAATGATTTATCTGGGAATAAAGCTGGCTGTTAGAAGACTTAACTATAATGATTTCTATTTCATTCTTAGCAAAGCTCTCAAAAAACTGAACACTTGGGGTCTACGACATATTTCTTTGATTGGTAAAATTGCTTTGTTGAAATTTGTCTTCTCTTCTATACCCCTGTTTTCTATGGCTTATTCTCTTGTTCCCAAAAGAATTCTTCAAAATCTAGATAAGTACTGTCGGAATTTCTTATGGCATAAAGAAGGTGGAAAGAGAGGTATGCATTATATATCATGGAACATTCTTTGCAAATCAATTGAGAAAGGTGGTTGGGGTATCCAAGGAGCAACAATGAGGACTGGATCTGTTAGAGCGAGAATAGCCTGGAATTTTATTAATAATAAGAGAAGTAATAATAAGACTTCTCTTATTAATATGATCATATCAGCAAAGTATGGTTTTCAAATCTGGAATGATGTATCAAGGAATAAATCTTCTACAACATGGCGTATTATCAAAGATGGAGCTCATTCTTTGAAGAAAATAACTAGGTGGAGGATCTCTAATGGAGAATCTATCAATATCCTTAATGATACCTCGATATTGGATAGATGTCTGAATAATTGGCTGGCTTGTATTAATATTCTAGATATAGAAGATAGCAATGTTGCTTCATTGCTAAATGAAAATGAAAAATGGAAAATGGATTCATTGGAAAAATTCTTTTCTGATGATATGATTGATATTGTTATGAAACTCCTGTTGATAAAGAACTGAGAAAGGATGTACTGGAGCTGTTGTCTGAATATAATGGAAAGTCTATTGCAGCAATGGCTTTTCAAGCGGTAAGCAGACATGAAGAAGATAGTATAAATATCAATTGGATGAAGAAACTTAAACTATTTCCTAAAGTCAAAATGTTCTGGTGGAGGCTTATTAACAATTCTTTACCTACGAATTGTTGGATGAAATATAGAAGACTTTGGGAATATAATACTTGTCCAAGAGGTTGTATGAATGAGGAAGATAATTTTCATATTACGTTAGGTTGTAGCAAAGTAGTGTAAGTTTTTTCTTCTTTGGATAGATGGGGCATTCATTTGCCAAATTTTATTGGCGTTGAAGATTACTGGAAAAGCCTGATGGACTTCTCTGCTCTAAATCCGAGCATTGTAAAAGTCTATTTGATTGCTGTTTATTTGAACTGGAAGGCAAGGAATTGTCATATGCACGGTTTGAAGGTTCCATCGCCTAAATCTCTTGCTGTGGACGCTCTCTCACAGGCTTCATACTCATTATTGCTTCCAATTTGCATGAACTGGGATACTAATCAGCACTTGTTGCTGTCTAAAGCTTGGTATCCTCCACCTACAAATTGGTTAAAACTAAATGTGGATGCTTGTTTATTAAGATTTAATAATGCAAGTATTGCGGGAGTCTTGAGAGACCATAAAGGAAGATTCCTTATGGCATATGGAAAGAAATTGATCCATTGGGACATTTCGATTCTTGAGCTTGTTGCTGTGTTTAATTTCAAAATTTTTATCCAAGGATGGATGACTGGAATAAATGGTATTATTATCGAAGGTGATAATATCAATGTTATTAAGCTTCTTCAACAATCAACTATGAAGAATGGGAATAATCAAGTGCGTAAAATGGATTTCTCATTTCTAGATTGCTTCCATAACGTGAATTTCCATTTTATTTCTAGAGAAGGCAATGAATTGGCGGATGTATGTGCCAATCATGCCTTAATTAATGATTTTCATTGGGAGTCTGATTCGTTTGGGAAACTTCCGTCAAGTATTGTTAACTTGATTAGGAAGTAATGTGATAGACTTTCTATCACATAGGCTTTTATCTTTTTCTTTTTCCAGTTTAATGCAATTGTAGTTATTCAAAAAAAAAAAAAACTTAGTGGGCGAAGAGGGAAGCTATAGAGA